GCCCGCCCTGCTCGGCCCCGGGCACCCCGCGGCCCCTCGCCCACCGCAGCCCAGGCGGGACAGGAAAGCTGCTGCCACGTGCCAAGGAAGCGTTTAGGGGTTTTTTTCCCCCCCGCATTCCTGCCGGTTCTCCGGCAAAACGCACTTGCAATGAAAACAATAAATTGGCAGTGCCGTCCCCTCCGGCGTCGTTCCTTCCCTTTGTTTTTTCTGGTGTGCGGTTTTGCCAGCTCCCCTCCCAACAAGCCACCTCGGGGCTCCCGATCCCCCTCGGATTAGTGGCTGCAGAGGAACTGAGAGTTCCAAAAGTGTTTGCAGGTTCACTTGCTCAGTGTTACTGCCCATTTTGGTGTATGTCTTTGTCCATTTTGGCGTATATCTTTGTATTTTCTGGCGCTTCATATCCCACTCGTGGAGCTTTTCAGGAGTGAAGGAAGCACAGTAACAGTGAAATTTCATTGTGGGTTTTCTGAGGTGAAACTTTTTTCTCCCTGTTAGTATGGTGGCAGAATACAAACAGAGTTTTTAGAAGACTTAACGCAACCTTTATGGGAAAAAAAAATTCTGTCAGAAACCATAACAATGTCAAATGACCAACAACAGGAAAATCTGGAGACCCAGTAAATACGGCAGATGCATCTAGGAGCCTGTGAGAACCCCAGGCCTTGTGGAGATGGGGAGGCAGAGCTGGTCTGTTGGGGGTTTTGCATTGCTCAGTTGAAGGCAGAAGCAGAAATTATCGTGTAAAAATCTTTATAAAGCCATTGCTTTGCAAGGCCCGTGCATTTTAACAGTTCAGGCCTTTAAAACTGCTGCTCCAGGACTTGCTTATGGCAAACACAGCCCATGTAAACTGTTCAGCAACACCAAGTGAGGCAAATGGGCTGCACTGGGGGCTGAGCAGCACTGCCAGTCCCAGTGTCTGGACCACCTTTCACCGAATCACGGGATGGGTCAGGTTGGAAGGGACCACAGTGGGTCATCTGGTCCAACGTCCCTGTTCAAGCAGGGTCATCCTAAACCACATTACACAGGATTGCGTCCAGACAGTTCCTGAATATCTCCAGTGAAGGAGACTCCACAACCTCTCTGGGCAACCCGTTCCAGTGCATGGTCACCTGCAGAGTAAAGAAGTTTTTCCTCGTGTTCAGGTGGAACTTCCCATGCACCACTTTCTGCCCATTGTCTCTTGTCCTATTGCTTGTCACCATGGACCAGAGCCTGGCTCCATCCTCTTGACACCCTCCCTTTAGCTAATTATACACATTAATGAGGACCCCTCTTAGTCGCCTCTTCTCGAAGCTGGAGAGGCCTAGCTCCCTTAGCCTTTCCTCCTAAGAGATTCTCCAAACCCCTGACCAGCTCAGTAGGTCTCCGCTGGCCCCGCTCCAGGAGCTCCATGTCTCTTGTACCGAGGAGCCCGCAGCTGCACACAGCACTGCAAATGTGGCCTCATCAGGGCTGAGCAGAGGGGCAGAATCACCTCCCTCGACCCTTCCGAACCCTTCCAGGGACCCACAGCCCCGCGGGAGGCGGACACCCGGCGGGCGGCCCTGGCGCCAGCACGGCTCGCTCCCGGCGGCAGGAGCGGCAGAGCTACCCCTGGAGCTCCGCTGTCCCAGAGGCCAGGCCCCGGCCCGGCCGCGTTGCCAACGGCGGCCCCGGTTCGCTACCAGTGCAGGGGGCGGCGCGGCGGAGGCGCGCGGCGATTGGGCTCGACGCCCCGGGCCGGGGGCGAACGCGAGCGCCACCGCCGTTTCCGGGGCGGAGGCCACATTTGGGCAGCCGCCCGCGGGGCTTCTGGAGGAAGGGGGCCGTCCCCGCCACCCCCCCCGCCCGTCACTCCGGCCAAGAATGCTCTGACTGGAGGATTGATTTCATTGTGCGATGATTGAGGAGGACTTTACCAAACCTGGTAAGGGGCGGGGCGGGCGCGGGTCGGCGGGTGGGGCCGGTGGGCCGGCCGGCGCGGAACCGCTTGCCGGCCGGGGCTGGGCGCGCGCCCCCGCCGCACTGCCGCCCCGCGGGCGCCCGCAGCGGAAGCCGGACAGGCCAGGAGGAGTTTCCCTGCCGGGAAGGAGGCGGCGGACAAGCGGCGTGGTGTGCGGGTGGCGGGGTGCTCGGTGGGAGCAGGCCCCCCGGCCGCCTCTCCCTGAGGAGCAGGCTCCGGGCCGGGCAGGTGGATAGGCCCGGGCTGGCCCGCGGGCTGGCCCCGTGTCCCCGCAGGGCTCGGGGTGAGGGCAGGCTCCGATGCGCTGCCCCCCTCTCTCCATCCCTCCTCCTGCCCCCGGCCCGAGTGTCGGGCACGAAGTAAAGTGATAAAGTTGCCCGCCCTCCTCCCCGCCCGCGGCTCCGAGAGGCCCTTGGGGGTGGATGCGGTTCATGTGCTTGTGCGGGCGGCAAACTGAGGGAAAAGTGGGGGGAAGAGAAAAGGGGGTGAGGAGAAGGGGCCACACGGCCGGTTTCTGACGCAAAACGCTGAAGGATGAGCTTGTTTTTAACTTTTTGTTTTTATAACCTTAGCGAGCGTTTTGCCACCCCCGTTTTGCTTTTAATTGCAAGGTTTGGGGGGTTTTCCTGTTAACTTTTTACTAAATGTTGACATCAGGTTTTGTCCTAAGCTTTT